CTCAAAGGTGCAGAGCTGAAGGAGCTCATCACCTTTTTTATTGATCAACCTCCCAAACATTCTCATAAGCTTTAATACAGTTTTGTTTTATACAACAAAACCACCAAATCTACCAATTTATATAAAACCTGAACCACTTAAATTTTAACATATGGCAACTATTTATGTGGAAAATTTCTCTTATTGCTTTTGAAAGCTGCAGCAAGAACAGTATCTAAGAACCGAGCAGTACAATAATACGTTTGGTGACAAGTTACAGCATTTACTAAGTTTCAACTGATAAGCAAGATAACATGTTCAGGTTGTTATGAACCCACAGCTGCTGGAGCAAGTTGCACCCACCAGTAGCTAGAAAAAAGAAAGCATAAGTTAGTGAATACTATGAATTTTATTTATAGTAGGCATAATCCATGAAATAAACACACTCAACCAAAAAAACCCTTTCATTTTAACTTCGCTCCTTTGAATAGCACCATCTGACTCTAGCCCTAGCAAGATGTATTCAGTTATGTGGAGAAGCTGGATGTAATCCTTCTGTCATACATTCTGAGCTGTGGCCAGGTTCTGCACTCCTCTTCAGCTTGCCTGCTCTGGACGAGTTGTACACAAAAAAAAGCTGTACTGAACAAAATGAAATATGCTGAAAATTTCCTGCTCTGCAAAGCTGGTCATCTAGAGAGATGGCAAAGGAGACTTACACAAAAGCAGATGCAAGGACATTAACGAGGAGCATGCTGAGCAGATGTGGCTGCATGTTTCCGTAGCACACTACCCTTACCAAGCTGTGGTCTTACCCCAAAGTGCAAGTGGCAAGTCAGTCCTTTTTGCAGTCAAGGAAAAGTTACAGGAGTAGGCCACAATGTTTATAGGGAAAGTTTTTAACTGCACCTTTTAGGCATCATTTGTTATTTAAAAGCTTATTAGAACGGACAGTTTTCCTGTTCTTCAGAATTTTTTTTTCTTTTTTTTTAATAACAAGCAAATGGGACACTTAGATATGAGAGGCCACATACAAAACCTATACAGGACTTTAAATGGCTGAGAGAGAGTAGGGGGGGCATAGGAAAGGGTGAGGTTTTTGAGACCAGCACAGAACATTTGTGCAACCCCAAAGCTGTCCCTGGTTGTACATTCTGGCCCCATGAATTTGTGTTCCTTTCTGTACAGGGATCTGGCTTCAACACTAAACTGCCAAAGGATAACGTAACCGTGTTTGCAACCAACACCTCCTTCAGCAGCTAGGTTTTAAAAGAAACCAGCAATCCTGCTTGAGGTCCTTCAAACACTTGGTGGTGGAAGAACAGAACTCTAAGATGTTTCCTTTGTACAACTTTGGCTGTTTTGCTGCTCCTTCATTGCATCTAATTTTCCAAGCTCTGTATAAAGGACCCAAGTACTTTGCTGGATCTGTATTTCAGAAAGCATCCAGAAGTAGATCAGTGCTTGCAAACTAACACATAAAGCAGATCTGAGAGAGAAGAGATTAAGAAAAGAGTGCAACGATTAATGGGGCATTCCAGTTCCTCTCAGTTTGAAGGGCACTTCTTGCTATCAAGAGTAGCCTTCTAAACAAGTTTAGAAACGCTGTTTCATAATCCCAGACTTACACTGCACCAAAATCAGAAACTGTCAAGTCTGCAAATCTGGAAATAGAACTGTGGGTTTCTGTTTCTAAGAACATTATTTCCCTGGATTTTTTTTTTTTTTTTTTTTAATTTGAAAACCGAGCTAGTGTTTTAACACCCAAAAGCCTAAACTGCTCCATCATCTTGATGTAAGCTTCCAGTGAGATACACAAAGAAAGGCAGTGCTAAATGACTGCTTCTCAAGCAGCCCTCCAAAATCATATTAAGTCATGTTTATAAAGTCATCAAATAACAGAGCTCTACCAGCAGGAAATGGTCATCAGGAAATTTTAAGACTGACCTATTGAGCTAAACGACTTGGGGATCACTGCTGTGTATGAAAGGAAGCAGTACGTTGCCTGATACATTCTTTTCACCATTCAGCATAGAAATGGGGGAAAAAAGTCCCTCAATGTCAGTTTTTAAAAACAACAGCTGTCATAATTATATTATAGAAAGCAAATGTACGCTTTGCACTGATTAACTCATCTGAAGTTTTGGGAAAGTAAATTACCAAAATGTCATGTTTTAACAAGAATAACTGTATAGAGTATATTAATGTTTGTGAATATATTTTTATGCAGAAATACATAGAAGTAACATCAAGACAATTTTCTTCTACTTCTTAATATCCTGTAGAACATAAATTTAGCAACTGAACTGTATTGTTTTGTACAAAAGTAAGCAGGGACAAATACTGCACCTGGAAAAAAGGGGTCAGAGGCTCATTCACAAGTGTTTTACATTGTGTCTGCGGATGTGTACCAGAAAGTTATAAAAGGAGCTTCATTTTGATTCATGTGTTTAAGAAACACCTTGCGTTATTCTCAGACATTATGTTTCTGGAGATGAGAGTAAATTTCTGAAGTTTAACTTCTTCGCATGGGAATTTTGCTGAAGAAAGTATTACTTAAGGCACTGCTCAGCCCAATGCTTCATGTCATTAATCAAATTAATTTTAGACATTTTAGATTGTAAGAGACAAGGCAACACTGCCAGTCTGACTTCTCAAAAATCATGACTCAAACACCCAATATGAGATTAGTTTCATTTAACACCTGCTGATTTCAATGCATACTTTAACTTTGCCTTTTAGCCTCTAATGCTTTAATTTCAGATGCTATCAACTGTTGCTCATATGACAAAGTATAGGGAAATCCCCTCCATACACAGAAAATACAAACCCAGCAATCAGATCCACAGTAATCCCAGTGGCTGCCAAATATGACAGTGAGCAAGTTTCATGCATCCTCCACTAACTTTGCTCCCTTTCTTAAAAGCGCTTTGTAAAAACAAAATTTCCCTATCCATTTTTGTTTTTAAAGGAATATTATTTTTAGTGTAAATGGTAATTAACAACAGCAAAGATAATTACAAATATAAATTCATTTCTGTGCCAGGTTTGACAGTTAATACAAAAATAAAACACAGGAAGGGAACCAGCCATGAAGAGATCCTCACTTTCCCGAAAATGCCAAGGCTAAGCTTTTGTCTTCATACTGACATGAACCTTGCTTTGTTGTAAGCTGCTGGCATGGTAGCCAAGTCTTTAAAAGATGCATTAAATAGAAAGAATTATGTTAACTTCTTTGGTAATAGATTATAGAAATGACAGTGAGACAGGGTTTTTGGGCAAATTGAAAAATGGTGAAAAAGCATTCATCTGCCTCTAAGACTATGAGGCTTCAAGGTAAACAGAAAGCTAAATTCAAATATATGTCTAGCCTGACATTGTAGAGTTGGTTTAAAACGGAAGCATTCATAGCATTTCCTTCATGTTACATATAATGTATGGATCCATTTTAACATGTTTTCTTTAGAACAAAGCAGCACACAGCAAAGTGCAAGCTTTTCTAAGCTACTGGTCCCCAGGTATCTCCCTTATCCATGCCACGACAATTTTTCCAGCCATAAGCCAGCCTAACATGCCAACAACATCTGGGTTTCTTCTGTGTCATTTAAGTAGCATGTAAGAAAAAGAAAAGGTGGGGGTGGTGGTGACAGGATGTAGATCTGTAACGTGGAAACTGCATTGTTGCCAGAGTCACAGACACGTAAAACTGACTTGAAGAATCATGAGTCAGGCTTGAGTTGCAAATAGGCAGGGATCTAAATTCTTCTGTTAATGACAGTGGCATTGTGACTTGATGGGAAAAAAACAAAAAAATACTGTCCATCTCTATAACCTTCATTCAAAAGTGTGACTTCTGCTACATTTGTTTCCTGCTAAATTTCTGACCTATGGTTTAGTATTTTCACAGATCTAGCCATATGTACAAAATTACAAGAAAGGGATGCAATTGATTTAGTGCAAGACACTTGGATATTTATCTGAACATAAACAAACAGAGGAAGATCAAAGACTCCATATACTTGTCCATAAGGCAGATGGTCATATTTTAAATATAAGATCTTAAATATGCTGTTTATTTCTTAAGAGGTAGAAAATATCAAAATACTAAGAAAAAATTTCTAGCTTAAAACAATCAGTTTGCTTACTTTTTAAAAAGTCTTACTGTTGTAATTTTTAGGTTAATAAAAACAAAGGAAGCTATGGAAGCACAGGATTTCGTGCTCTGTAGAGGTCTTACTTACTGGAAAAGAGAGAGCTTCTTCATCTAGTCAGTGCTCAAGTAGTATATACAAGGGATCTCCTCCTCTTGCCCTGTTGGGGGCTATAAATCTGAATCGGAAAGTTTTCCCAGTGGAAAATTTTGGCGATTCCTGAATTTCTAGCTCTACCTTTAGCCAGGTACAGTTTACGCATAAGGCAGTAGAACCACTGATGGAAGCTCAGAACTACCTCTTCCATTATGCTAAGGAAAAAGCTAATAGAAACAAAAGCTGATTCAAATCTTTTCTGCAGGCAGCAAAAGATGATTCTCAGGTTCCAGCACCAGTGGGTAATTAGGTTTAGCAATTTATACCAGCTCAGAGACAGCTGAACTACTCATTGAACTGTGGAAGGCTTGCACTCTGATTCCTCAGCACAGCTAGGAGTTGCTGCTGCTACTGTCTCAAATGCAGTTTAATAAGGCATGTTAACTCACACATTGGAAAAGTAGTGTAAAAGCTCCTCTTTTCCCTCTTGCAGTTAACATTCAGTACTGTTTATTACATATTTTATAAAAAGAAGTTACGATATTTTTACATTCAATCACTGTAATAGCCAGAGTAAAGGAAACTATCAGATTCTAAATTAAAGACAATTCTGGAGATATGCACACTTGCACAGATACACACAGCCCACACATATGTGTGTGTATGTGCATATATATATATATATATATGTAGAGATATAGATATATTTTATATGTATTTCTTTTAAATCACATCTGAGAATACAGCATGGAATATCTTCACTCAGCTCCTCTTTCACCAGAGGACAGGATTGTCCAGTTTGGAAAAACCAGGTTCTTTTCTAAGGTCCATGTAGGTTCCATTGCTCACCCAAGAGTCATCGCTGGATTTCCTACCAAAGATGAAACAAACGTCTTAAATGTAAGGCTTATATTTTCCACACATGCTGTGTAATACTATGCACAGATGCCAAATCCAGCCCATGAACCGGGTGCAGTACAACTCACTGCAGCCTCCAACAAGGCAACAGGGTTGGAGAGTTGAACTGGTATGTCTGCACTGGGCCTTGGAGATGCACCCCAGTAGCCTCGTGCACAACTGAGATCAACACTCTTTAATTCAGTCACCTGCCTGTGCTTAGCACTTAAAAGCTACAATCCAGGTTAATTTCATGGTCTCAAATGCAGCTTGGAGTGGAAATTTCCTTTTTACTTCTCCAGTGAAGGCTCACCACAATTATTGCATACAGACAGCCTATAGTGCTCAGTCAAGAGGCCAGACTCAGGGCACTAGGTACCATACACTGAAGGAACCAGTCTGCTTTTAATCTAGTGTGCAACATTTTTGGCACAACAGCTAATTATTATGTTAAATAAATCAAGTCTTGTGATTTGTTGAAGAGAGAAATCAGTACTGAAAAGCCAAATGCCCAATTCCTGTCTAGTCTAACACTGGATAACACTTTTGCTATACAGTAATTAAATTCTGTTATTTAACTCTACAGCACAAATCTCAGTTTTCAAATCCTCATTGTGAGGATTCAATTCCTCATCCTTATTCCCAATTCTCATTGTGAATATACAGTTATGAAGTATTAGACTTTGCCTCTATCCTGCTGGAAGCAACATTGGCTTCTCTTTAGTAAATGTGATTGACATGTGATGAGTTAGCTCACCAGGCTGTCAGACATCTAGTAGTCTGAGCCATTCCATTTTCGCACCTATTTGCACCTAGTTTAAATGTTTGTGTTCCTCTGAAGTACAGTACCTATCTATCCAGAAAAAACACTGGATCTAGGATATGTTAGCTGTGATACCTAGGCTCATTGAATGTTCACTTTTGCTCCAGCTCTTTCATTGCAGGAGAACAGGGAAGCTGGAGGGCAAAAGGCCACATCCTCATTAGCATTCATTTTTCTTTTGATGGCTGAAGTCTTCTGTTAATTGATTTACAACAGGAAGAAATAAAGTGCTCTCTGAATGATAATTCTTTCCCCACGAAACAGGGGAATCATGTTCAAAAATAACCCTGGAAATGAAAGGATCCAACTGCACACTTCTGCACCAGGCAATCCTCCTGAATTCAGGAAAAGTTCAGCAGAGGTAATTAAGCTAAATCCAGCTACTTCACCTTGCTTGAAAGAATCAGAGATGTTGCATTTACTCAGGCAAATTCAAATACAGACTAAATATCAGTCACCATCAAGGCAAAAAAAAAAATTAGAAAGAAATTCTGGGATACACTAATGAATAAAGCAATATATAATTCTGAGTTTTAATTGAGTTTGGAGTGTTCTACATAGCCAAAGTACAAAAATCAAGAATACAGAAGAAACCTGGAAAAAAACTGGAGCCCACACTATGGCAGTTTGTAAAGAATTACAATAAATTATATGCTAATTATTATATAGTACCTGAAAAATCTAGGCTGATGCTCTAGATTGTTTTCCTCCAGCACCTTTCGTCGTTCTCTCTGTAGCTGCTCGATCCTCTGCTTTTGTATTTCAGCTCCTTCAATATTCCCTTCTTCTAGAAATCTGTAACACCAGCAGTGATAAGAGACAAGTAGTGCCCCTGTCCCCTACCTACACCAGGTCCTCTAGAGCTCCAGGATCTCATCTTTACAGCGGGTAGTTCAGTGTTTGAAAGATAAACAGCTACATGTGCAGACAACTGCCCTATCAAAAAGCACTTGAGGAAAAGTAGCTCTCATAAGAAGCTCAGAATCATTGTTATATTCTTTTACTTCAAAGTTAGCAACAGTAGAAATTCCACTGCAGAAGGAGGTTTCAAGCATGTCGGGTTTTGGCTATTCAAACACAGTATGCTCAATATCAAGTACCTGAAGTACTGAAGTTTTAACATCTTTGGAAAGGAAGTTATCTAGAAGCATCCAAGAGCCAGCTTTAGGAGACACTATTCCATAGTGACTGGACCATCTCTTGATAAGCAATTAAAATGTCTGCTTCAGATGCACATTAATGTGGAAACAGAAACACACTGCAGGTATCTACACAAAATAGTCTGAGCTTAGGGTAAAGTAAGTATACAGAAGATTAAGAACTATTTGAGGAAAATATGTAAGCTTCTTACCTTTGGTCTGGCCTAAAACGTGTATCAGTGGGTGGGAGTAAAGATCTAGTTTGCATGTCCAGTTCATTTAACTCCAGTGCAAACTGAGTAAATCCATACCACTGTTCATAATCTTTAGGCATTGGATCTACAGAAGAAAAGAGGATATTCAGAATTCCAATACTATTATCTTTAGAAGGAAAATTCCAAGCTCCCATCAGTCACTTGTTCATCTCTGAACCATGGTCACAGTTTTGGGGGAAGAAGAGTTTTTTATTGATGGGACAAAAGACGACATCCCCCTTGATAACTGCACTGCAACAAAACAGGTTCCTCTTCTCTCAGCTGCATCAGAGCACAGCTGCGATGGCAGCCATGCAATTATCATAGTGCTTCTCAAACTACAGTACATAAAACCCCACAGGCTTGAGAGTAGTTCAGATTTGGCTGGCATTACAGAACTGAGTTTTGTGGGCTATCCTCCTGTGTTTAATACATGAAATACACACACATTCTCTACACAAAAAGGAGGGTTTTTTTCTTTCCCTCTCCCCTGCCCCCTTCCTTTTAGAGTCCTCAATAACCACTTTGTACACAAATATGAAAATGAGAGAGAATGGAAAAAACAAGGAATCCATGGGATTAAGTTCTTCATATTATTTAAGTTAAATAATTTATTCTTCTTGTCTAAATTTTAAATGCTTGGGAAAAAAAAATCCAAGAGTCTATACAGAAATAAAAAGAAGTTGCGGCCTAATAAAGGCAGGAAAATAGTAAGCTTATTCAGAAGCAGATCTTAAGTTCTGTAGCCATTCTGATCACTAACTTGCTCTCCATATGCAGTTTGAAGATGAAGGTGTCCCACAGTATAAACTTTCATGCCACTTCCCAAAGAGCCGATGCACAACTTTCCCGGCTTTATCCATGACACTGCCTTCAATCTCATGTGCATTTGGATTCCAATACTTTGCCTAAAATTAAAAGGAACAAGGGGAAAGAAGGTGCATAAGAGATCAAGTGTGAGTGGTTTTGCCATGTCAGTAGCACCATGATGTAGAGTGGTTTTCTGAAATGAAAACTATTCGTTTAAGTATGCAACAATATCATATGCAAAAAACTGCTGTGAGTACTATATATCAACGCTGAGAATTGTGGTTAGGGTTTTTTTTTTTTTTTTCTTCTTTAGGAGCAGTACTACTAGGTGAAGCATAGCTGACCTTGAATTTTGCCCAGTGACAAATAACACTGACTCCTGACTGAATTATCTACATCTTCCCCAAACCTGCAGAAGTGGAAGAGGAGGAACTGATACAGTAATCTCCACTTTAGATAATTTACAATATCAGAGGTGTAAGATCTGCAGGCTTTCAGTCTTTAAAATGTGAACTTTAAACATCTACTGCAACTCTTCAAATACATTACAGTACTTTCAAATAAGTATTTGGGGAAAAAAAAACCGATAAATCATCCTAATGCTGCTTAGAAAACACGGAAGTGTTCAGGAAAACAAATAAGAGAAGGAAAATCCTACTGCTGGGCATGCCATGCTGCACAGGTATGCTGAAGTACTTCACTTGTATCTGTATGGTCTGCTTCTCTGTAAAGCACAGACTTTCTCCAGCACTCACACAGAAAATGCAGGTTAAGGTAAGTCTCCTAGCATGCGTTGCTAAAGTGTTTCTCAGGTTAGAAATGTTGGCATCATTTTAGGTTTTCACTGATTTTCCTTTACTAGGAAGAAGTAATCTATTGCAACAACCAAATTTTAACTTCAGTTATAAGAGCATTTCCTGAGGAAACCATATCTTGATGCCTTCTATTGAAGGAAAAGCTTTGAGTAACACCACCACCTCTCACTTAAACTCCTCAAGTAGCTACAAAGTAGGAAAGAGCATTGGGTGAAGGACTCGGCATGAGCACTCCTTCTACAGTTGCTGAATGAATGCAACCACGGCACATGCCACTGGGTTAGCAGGAGGCATGTGGTAAACCACTGTCAGTAGCACCTTGTGCCTATCTCTCTCAAATACAGAATAGGTTTTTCATCATTTCCTGCTTTCCTTTCCTCAGGATACTTTTCTGTATCTCCAGAGGAATCACCCAAGGAAACTGTTAGTTCTCTTTCTTGTCTGGCTCTGCCTCGTGAGTGACAGTTCCTTCAGAGTTAAAGTTCCTCAAAGAACGACAGGTAATTACAAGAGAAGTAGAGGAAAATACAGCTTGTAAGCAGTTCTACTGAGCTTCACCAGAGAGCATCCACCCACTGCTATGTCTGTTAGAAAAGGTACTGCCAACATTCCTGTGATTACTGCTGTAGTTACCTTTATGAAAGTCAGTTTGCAGTGGCAAGTGTCATTGTTAAGATTTTTGATGATGATCTCTCCATAGTGTTCAATCCATCTTTGCCCACTTAAGATATTATGGATGCAAGATGTCACCTTGTTCCATGCAAAATGGTCTTTAAAACTGTAAGAAAAATACACACAAGAAAAATTTCATGTCATGTTCAAATGAGCTCATAAACTTGTGGAAAAAAAAAAAAAAAAAAAAAATCAGAGAACTTGATCAGAAAAAATCCACATTTTTTTTTTCCCCCTGGAATGTCTCATCTTCTTGTCCCACACTTCAAAAACAAACTGTATGACAATAATCCTGTCTCCCAGAAAACCCTTTACACTTCAGCTATAAACTTTAGTCTTGAATTGAGTTTTGTTTCAATTTACTTGTCTCTCTTTACCAGTTTTAAGTTTCCAAAAGTAATCATTCTGATGCCTTCTACTGGCTGAAACGTCCATTTCACAGTTTGCAACACAGTGGCAACTGAAAACAAGGAGGTGGTCCACCAGAGTCATAGAAGACATTAAGTGGAACGAACTTGGCTCAAGTTCTCAAGGCTGAGCCTGTGTGCATGCTTCAGGCACGAGCAGAAGTTCTCACCAGGTAGCTCAAGATGCAGTTGTACACAGGAAGGCAGCAGATAGGGGAAGATGAACGAGTACCAGTAGGTATTTAACCTTTAACAGTTAACCTTTTAGCAAAAAAGTGAATGTTCGTATAAAACAGCTTATCAAGAAAATGAAAGTCTCATGAAAACATGTATTCTACAGTTTGTTCTGGGTATTAATAGCTAAACCATTCCTGGTAAGGTAAAGGGCAAACGTAGAAAGCACCAGTTTCCCCACAGCAACTGCCTTGCACACAGCCCATGAGGATATTAGAAACTTCCCTCACCTCCCTTAACCACTTGCTTTCACTTGCTGCACTGTAAGGGTATGCACAAGGACAGTTTCTGCAGACTAGCAGGTATGTGGCCAGTTTACCCCACAGTAACTTGTTTACTTGCCCTTACCTGCAGGTCACGTGCTTCATCATGCACACTAATCTATTTGCTCCAAAAATAACCTTAAAACTAATGCTTCGCTTTTGCCTTTAACCCCAGTACCATTTTTGTGGCCAATTCTATGTCAGACACGCAGGGATACAGAACAGACCACATATGAACCAGATTATTCTCCCGTGCATCAGCCCACCATGGGCCTAATCTTCAGTTTAATACAGCCTATCTTGTTCCCATCTGGATGGACGTGGCTCCAGTGTGTGTGAGCACGTCTGTGCCTGTGGGCCAACAGCACTGCACGACTGCAGCACTTACGCTGGAAGAGTCACGTGTGTTGTACCGACTGGAACAATTTCCATGGACTTTCCCCAGAATTTGTTTTTCCATCGTACATCTGAAACAAGAACGAAAAAAAACCAAACAGGCAGGTTTAGTTACAGGCATGAGTGAATCAATCTATTTATGGGTTCTACTTTAGTTTCAAGAATTGCAAAATAACAGAGTGCAACGTAACAGAAGTGTTTAAGGAATGCTGTGGACCTTCAAATGTGTGTGTTTGGGTTTTTTTTTTTTTTTTTTGTTTTGTTTTTTTTTTTCTCATTACATTATAGGTTATTTAAATAGCAAATTAACAGAGGTTCAAAAGTCCTCTCTCCAAAATTTTCAGAAGAGAAGAATTTGGATAAGCTATAGACAGCACGAATTTCTCTGCAATTCAGTTGCTACTGAATGCAGACATTTCCAAAAACAAAAGCAGATTTTAAAATACAAAAATATAGCAACTCAGAACATCCCCAGTGAAGAAGCAAGAGACTGTTTCAAAGGGCACACAATTACAGAGGGATTTAGTCAACTCCCTCTGTAAGTTTAAACGGCCCTTTAAAATCTTGTCTGAATCACAGGAAGACCTGTCCAAGTCTCACATCATGTCTCAAAAAAAAAAAAAAACCTCACCCTGCTGAGTTTAAGAGTTAAAATGCATTATCAGACTGTGTTATGTTCTATATTCTCATAAATGGCAAAGCAGTCCCACAGAGATCAGTACCTGGGAAACATCTTGGGAACCAGTGTGCAACTTGATCATGCAAAAATTTTATGACAGCAAAGAAAAACAAAGTGTTATTTCCAAACTATGCTCTGACTACTTAGCACAGATGCTGTAATAGCTGGAACCTTCTATTTTGCATTCCCACTGCTCACGTGTCCACACCCGTTTGCAAAAGCAGTCAGCTTCACACATTGGGGAAAACCATTTCCAAAATAACTGTCCCTGTCAGAACTCAGTCTTCTGGCCCACTAGAGATGATCAAGAGATTTCTTGATGGTGAAAAAGACGAACTAAAGTCAGTATCTGGAGGGATGACTGCACTACTCTGGCAGTGTTGCTGAGGACTGTCTCCTTTTTGGCTGAGGAGATAATAGTAAATGAAAATGTCTTTGCACACAGAAAGAATTTACCTCATTGACAAGCTACCTTTGTGATTAATTTGATGTTAATCTTTCCACACTAATTAATATAGCCCCATAACAAGAGGCCTCAGTATTTACAAACTGCTTTTGCATTGGAAAAAAGAATTGTCTAGATCTCACATGAGCTCAGCTAAGTATATCGAAAACTAAATCAGACCCTCAAACCCTGTAGTACCCCGAGTCTCTTGTGCTTATCAAGACCCAATCTCAGACTCTCTCACTGACAAATTCTCAGCTCTCATTTTTACAGAAGAGATTTTTCTCTAAACGCACACGTTAATATATTTGAGTGATAACCATTGTCAAGATCTGTTAAATCAGTCTCATCAGTTTTAATTAAGACAGGTTGCTATCAAATCTTCTTTATACATTTTTCAGTTACTGACTAAAATTTTGGTAATCTTTGCTTTTTTTTTTTTCAACGAAGAACAAAAGTACTATTGTCTCAGTATTTATTTACAAAGCAAAGAATTATACTGAATAATGAAACCCTGACTAATGACAGAGTTCTCATTTCTGCTCAGTACAGCTCCATCTGTCATAACTATAATCAAGTCAGCAGAGAATCACAACAGAATTAAAGGTTATAATATGGCTACATTGTGAATTGACAAACCTCAGGGTGAAGGATTTTAACTAAGTTAAAAGGCATAGTTATGGTCTGTCTACACTCCAAAAACATCTAACCACACAGGTACTGCGACTGGCTGACATCTTCACCACCATTACACAGCAAACAAAGTTCCAACACACTTCTTTTGAAACACAATGTTAGTAGTGAAACAGCACAAAATCTTACATACTGTAATAAAGCCAGCAGAGAAAGACAAGGTAAACATTTATCTTTGCTGTTTTGCTCATTTTTTGGCATATTTTCAGAACAGGTTTACAAGATCTGCCAAGGCTCAGGATTTAACTTGTAGTTTTTCAAGGTGTGCTCTAGCTTCTTTGTTTGACAAATAGCTTGAGGTATAACTCTTCTTTACTAAAGAACTCCCCTGCCAAAACAAACCTGATTTTAAAGAAACGCAGATATTTGCACATGAAAAGAATAATCAATTACTGTTTTTTAAAATAAATTCAACACTTTTATAATGGCAGAACATACAAGAAGCAGGCAAGTAAGTATAGACTAGCATTTCTTAAAGTCATTCTAATACAATTTAAGCAGGAAATTTCACCTTTTCCCAATTTCTGGATATTTCATGTTAGACGTACAATGAAAATATCATGAACACTGTAAAAATAAATGATAGACTAAAGAGTTACCTTGCCAAAAAGCAAAATTCACAGATTCAGCATGGCATGCAGAAATAGGTGGATGGTGACTGACCTAATAAGACATGAAAGGGGGGAAAAAAAAAAAAGATGGACATATTACCACTTGAACAGTCATTTTAGTTTGGGTTACCCCCCCCCCCCTTGTTTTTCATTCATATATGACATTTACAATTCAAACACTTTCCTTTTGCAGCTGTGTCCTGAAGGGGGAGTCAGTGGGATTAATAAACTACTGCAACCTAAGAAGCATTGAAAGAAACAGGAAGCACTTATTTTAAAAGGCCTGTGAATTTTGTTCACTGAATGAAAATTTAATTATATATTTTGTACACTGTCTCTATGGTGATAATTACATTTACCCTTAGGACCTCTTAATGTATCAGCAGAAGCCACATTTTGAGCATGCAGACAAAAATAAAAATAAATTAAAAAAAAAACCCAAAGGGCCAAACTCTTCTGTGTAGTAAATACCCACAAAAGCCTATGATGGAGGAGACAGTGGTCAGCATCTCTGAAGTGGCCATGGGTGAAGAAATCAAGCCATGAAATTACATCTAGCAACCCCTGCTACTGCTCTAGTGACACCCCAGGTGTTTCTAGTGCAAAACTCACCAAGCACACTGCATTTGTCAGCTTTCAGCAATAGCACATACAAGAATTGGGGCAACCACCAAAGCAGCGAGAAAGGACTGTGAGCAAGTAGCCAGATACACAGCGTAGGCTACTAGAAGGCAATAGTAAATAATAAAGTAACTGCTCAACGTGAAAGCAGCCACCCCTCCTTGGCTGTAAATTCTCCACTCTGCGTGAACACAGCTAACAACTGACCAGGACCAACTCTTTGATGTGTTTTTATTTTCAAGTCAAATTGCTATTTTCCACTAGGAATTTAATTTCTTAACCACCTACATGGCTCAGCTTTCTCCACTGCTACTCATTTTGCAAATCTGTTATCAGGCGTTTTTTTCTGCAGGCATCCAGTTGCTTACTGAACTTCCTCTACTTGGTTTAAAAAAAAGACAAAAGTACTAATTACTCTCAGATATGCCCTAATCCTACAAGAGCTACACTTCTCTCACACACACTGTACCCAGATTAACCCCAGATGTCACTGTAATTCACAGGTTAAATTTAGCCCTCACTTAAACTGTTATGATTCCAGGGTAAGGTCATGGTGCTAAGTAGAGTTATTCTATACTCATTCTAGTAATAGAACAGAATCTCTGTTATTTTATACATTTTGCCTATCTGTTCCATGGATTACATGCTATCTGTACTAACAAATTACCTAGAGTAAGCATCAAAATGTTTGCACAAGCAATGAGCAACAGCTCTTGATGCAAACATTTAGTACTTGCAACCTGCATGAGATTTCTTTCCTTCTACACTGCCCTCCCTTCCTAATATCCCTCCACTCCATACTATTACAGTAACTTTACCACTCTATAAACTCACATCACTTATTGCACATATTAGAATAATACTTGTTAACAACCCAAGCCCCCTCATGTATTAAAATTACTCTTTAGAGAAGATCAGCCTTTGTACTGATTTATCCAATATTCAGGGGAAAATCTCTTTAATTCAATCTAACATTAAGGTCAGTACCAACCTTTATTCACCACTTAGTTATTCCAATTTGCTGTTACACTGGTAACTGCAGTGTTCTATATACATCGTCTTAGAACTCAAGCAACACAATGAAGAACCAGACACACTACTTGAACTTTAGATTTGGATCTTGCTTTGACTGTTTTACTTTTTTTTTCCCCCTCCTTATTTTTACTCTTGCATGTGACATTTCCCAAGACTAAGGAAAGATCACACAGCACTCCTTTTTGTCTGTTATGAAACAACGTACACAATGTTGTATCTTCAGAAGTAGTCAAAATCACTTTTTTCCTAAAAGAAGCCTCCTAGAAGGCTTTATCTGGTCAAATTTCTAGGCTGCACAACCTTGCCCACTGAACATTTTTTATTCTTTCTTTTTTGTTATGTCTAGACAGAACAAAACAGCTTTCAATCATTACTTCTTACTCTTACTTAAATCTTATCATTAAATCTTACTCTGCTAGGCACCAGATTATTTAACTTTTATCTCTTTTCAACATAACAAGCTTAATTTTAGTAAACTGGCTGCTTTAAACTTAGTATTTTTCACCCATACTTAATAATTATTCTCCTGTTGGGGAATAATTTTTATAAACACAATCGTACTTTGATGTGTTGTATACTTCCTTCACCTACCAAGCTGTGGTACCAGAAAGGCTTAGCCCACAGAGTATTTGGACAGGAAGCAGGAAGATCCATGGTGCCATAGAAAATACTAGTGGTTGATTGGCTGAAGAAATGTACTTGGTATAAAAGAAGACATTAAAAAGCTGAGGTAGTGTTGTTAATGACCACACACAAAAGAAAGCGACAAGGATGTGAGCGCTTGTTGCAGCCCCCATCAGATTTCAGCCAGGGGAACTGCGCCCTACTTAACCGAGTTCTCTGGCTACGGGAGCAGGCAGCCTGCCAGCCTTTGCTCGAGTGCCAGCTGTTGGTCATCTTGTTCCATCCCAAAGTCCACAGACCTCCCTCAAAACCCAATTCTCTTCGGTTTTTTTCTGCAATATCCCTTGAGTTTTGCTCAGCTCAGGTTATATAAAGTAATTTTGTATTTTGCTGTTAATTCCAGAGGATTCCAGCCGTGCATTTAGAATCAAGCAGTGTATCAAGTAGCAAACCTAAGGGCTGCAGCAGACCGTACCTGTTCTGCAAAGAACTGGAAACCCTTATCTTCACGAATACATTCATAGGTTTCTCCAAGCACAGGGTTAAAGGGTTTACTTCCAGCTCGGTAGTAACTAGACGCATACACAGAGACTGCAAATGCAGCTATATACACCTGGGAATAACAGAGGTGAAATTTTGATTAATGAGTTTACCACAGCCATGCACAGTTTTGCTATACATAGATTTAACAGAAGGAAAAAAAAAAAAGTTTTATTCTGACATCAGATCCTGTATTTTTCCCTATCATTTGCAGACTACAAACAAGTATGTCTCCTGCAAGTTAAGCACTAGCTCCCACATTAGAGAGTTATTCAGTTTTCTGAGCGTCATTCGAGGGTCCAGGAATGGAATTATTTGGGTCAAATGCTGCAACTTTCATCAACTGAAAGCAGCATTTCTGAAAATGGTTTGAAATAGCTTAGCATTCTGCAATGCAGTTCAAAGCAGTAACCTCAAAAACCACTGGTAAATTTTGTATTATAACTGGCTTTTATAGTTACAGTCTGTGATTCTATGGATCTACCAACTATCTTTTTCCTAAATGTGGCACAGGAAGTATGAGATGATTTTTCACTAAGTTTGCTATTTCTAATGCAGTTTGAATTGAATTGCCTTTTATCTATTCTGTGCTATTACCTAAACATGAAACTGTGCCTAGTTATGCCTGAGACACAGGTAACCCTGCCAAACTTTTGCAGTCAACTCAAGCCTAATTCCCCCTATGCCAGAGGAATTAGCACTTCAGGTTGTTTCATTTTTGTCTTTTTTCGTTCCCTTTACCTCATATTGTGGAAGTGTAGATGCTTTCCTCTCACAGTCTCAGAAATCCACTTCAGAATGGCTTTTTATGAACTACTGCAATTACTATGCCACAGCTAGCATTAATTTTGCCTCAGGAATTTCACAAAGGCAAAGAATACTCCATTTTGAGGCAATTTCTAGAAACTCTGGTAGGGGTAAAAAGCTTCTTTTCACTCGCACACAAACAACTACTGCTAATTTCCTTTTCCTTTTAACATATGGTCTCAAGAGGAAACAACAAGCTCTGCATCAAACCCCCCAGTTAATAGCCACACCCTCTGTCTTGAGAACAGACACGAAACTCTAACACTTGCAGAGTGTCAGACTGCAGCGGGAGGCTTTCCAAACAGTATACCATGACTATTTTAATCTTATTTTAAGATAAGATGTGTTGAGTTGAAAAAGCTTAACTCAGTTTAAGAGCCAATCTATAGCTTCCATTTTCGAAAATATAGTTTTTAATCCTTTATTTACAGGCTTACATATTAAGCAGCTCTTGTGCACATGGAAGCAGAACAACTGAAAAACATTTTTCTCTCGTTCTTTTGCCAAATGCTGAATTCAGGGTTCTGCGCTGGCAGAAGATAACACCATTATTGTACCAAACATACATTCATATCACCCAGTTTTTGACATCTTGAACATTCTGGATCAACTCCAAAATTTCACAAAACCAGTTAATAAAACAAATGGAGTTCATTTACTTAATATAAAGGTATCACAGTAACGTCAGGCCGGGAGACACAGCATATATGCACAAATGTGTTACCAGATTAGCTGCCCTTAAGAAAAGATAGATTGTAGCCTTCATACTCAAGGGGGAAGTATATTAGCTCAACTCCCCTTTTTGCTGTGAATTTTCCATCTTACAGAGCAAAAGCTGAAAATCAGAACTAACCTACTTATTTTTTTAATCTTGCAGGACAGCAGTGTACTTGATACCTCCTGACAAAACAATAGAACTTATGCAGAAGAGTCAAGAACACTGAGTACATATGTACAGATACGTGTGGAAGGTGCTCTCTCAGCTGAGAGAGAAAAACAGAACAGAACACCTTCATTTCTTTGACAGACTGCTTTTACATTTACTGTATTCTAATTGTATTGAATGTTATTAAGTATTTAGAACAACATATTTACCATCCGCTCAAATGGGTTTGGTGTATGTGCTGCTTTATCTAGCAGCTCGCTGTACTCCAGCTCCTCGCAGAGACGCTGAAGGGTGTTAAGTGGCTCATTTAATTCCACAGGCATGGCCACTTTGGAGAGATCCTTTCCTATGTTATTTCTCAGGATATTCCATAGGCTGATGTTACTTGTATTAGGACATGGAGCTGGTAAACATGTCCTCCGTTTAGAATTGCATCCAATGCCACTTTCAGAAATACAGTCTGCAAAGGAAGGAAGAAAGTGGCAGAACAAGTCAATTCACTGTTTACTTAGTTTCATCCTCTTTGTAAACATACATCTATCTTTTCTTCTGTCAAAACTTCCTTCCACCCTCAGTTCATTTAAGTATTTCACTTTTGGATTGAAGCCTGTTATAAAAATTAAAAAAATAAAAAAGAAGATTTTAAATTCTATATGTTAACAGAGGTAAATGCCAGGTACAAAAGATGCATTATCCTTAAAGTCTATAAGAAAGGCTCAGGCTTTCCACTGAATTTGAAAGAGTAAATATTATAACTCTTTTATTTGTAACAGAGATGGATTTCTATCTGCTTAAGGGACATAAAGCCTCCCTCCTTGACAGCACTTCAATTAAGTTGACACTTCTTGGAAAGCAAGGCGTAACTTACAGATCCAAGCATAATAAAAACTCCTACCTATCTTTTCCTACTTTTTTGAATACTCCTACCAGGGAAATTTACTGCCTCACAGATTTATATTCAGGCTTTTCTACAGTGCTCTCAATAATGTTTAGCATTTAAAAAAAATAAGCCATGTTAGCTTTTAGATACACCCAAATATTGATGAAGAAATGGCCTGTTTTAAAGGTGGAAATGCTGAAACAACTGTGGAGCTATAGGTTTGCTAAAGATTTAAAAAAAAAAAAAAAGTTGTGTCAAGAGTCCTTGACATGAATATCTGAGGTCTGTTGCTATGTCAACACAATCGGAACAGGATAAATAGTCCTAAGGGTGCCATGAAACGATTTGTGGCAGGATCAAAATAGAGCTACAAGCTTCTGCAACAGGCACTAGTCTGATTATATCGCTTAGCTGGACATCAATCTCATTTCAGAGAGGAATAAGGTTCCCAGTACAAGAACATATTTTATCTTTACATGTCCTTAGAAGCACCTAGGAAGCTCCTACCCTAGAACCAATTACCACTTGAAGACATTCAGGTATAGCCCCTGTCTGTCAATCCCTGTTCTCATCTAGCTTTCCTCATCCAGCTTTGTCTTGGAGTTAAAAGAGCACCAGGCACAGCACATCTCTCCTGTGCAGCACATGCCCAGAGAATCACTGCCCTTGACTGCAAGTTTCAGCCAACATACCAGTATTTCCTCTGCTGGTCCAGACATAAGCATGGCATCAGCAGTGCTTCCAAGAGTGACAAAGTGCAGACAGCCACAAGGGCTAACTCCTCCATCACAGCCATGTATTCTAGCCCCTGCCTCAGATGAAGGTTTTCAAGTGTAATCAATAGCCTCAAAGTTTTGAGGATGAAGTTTCCATCTTTCCTGCCACTCACAAACAAGAAGTCCTGATATCTCATCTGACCAAGTTACTGTAACAAGGACAAGTGAACTGTTTGGAGTCTACTATCTATCTTTTTGCATAAAAATGTCATGGGCACTGTGAATAAAAAAAAAAAAAAAAATCTGCCTAAACCAATTACACAGTTAAGAGGTTGGCTCCTATACCTTCCCCTTTGAAGAATTTATTTAATGTCAGAAGAGGCCAAAAGGAAGGGTGTTCCCTTAGACACCTCAGGAACGAGGGAGTACCTGGCGAGAAAAGAATTAAATGCTAAAAAATTATCCTTGTTCCAAAGAGCTCTCTGAAATGAGATTGGGCTGTGTCCTTTGACAGCTTCTAAGTAAAAGCAGAATACTAATTGACTGAACTACATATTCTAGACCAGCCCATTAACATGGGTAAAACAGTGACAAAAAAAACAGGGGAGAAAAAACTTAGATACCCAGCTACCATATTTTCTGTACAGGGAAGTTTGCCCACCCCCATGAAAAAAAAAGCCCATGCAGTTCTGGTTTGCACAAGCTGTGACAAGAACCAGCAACAACATTGAAGGAGATTAAGAAATCTGACCTCCAGCTAGACTCAATGACTTTTAGAGCCAGACTAGACCATTATGATTACCTGGTCTGACCTTCTACATTTCAGTGGCCAGAGGATTTTATCATAGTCCCACAATTTATGGTTCAGCTAAAACCCTTTAGGAAAAAGACATCCAGTTTGCTATTAATGGGAGTGGCAGGTTGCCCAAAGCACAGAAATAGCAGGTACCAGAAGGAGGCATGTAGAGATACTGCTAATATAGCAGAGCTTCAGTGACAGTCTTTGTTACAGGAAGATGAACAGCCACAAACGTACAGTTTTCTAAAGTCCAGATCATGAGATAAATCAATCTGTACTCTAATCTGTATTCTTTCTTATCTTTAAAACAACAATAGAAAAATCTTCATTTTTAAAGAGTTACAGAATACAACAGATTGCCAGGCATATCAAACTATCCAAGTTCATAGGGATCTACTGGTCCTTGGAGATCTCAGGAAACAGCTGCTAGTAAGAAACCATTGTTCAGCACTTTTGAAGATAAAAATATATTGATAGAGTGGGAAGAACACTGTGGTTAGCTGAAAGGAGCGGAAGGCACAAAGCCAATTAGTTTGTTACTTTTAAAAAAAAACAAACCAACTAGGCCTTGCTGCTTTGAAAAAATCCTGTGGCCATAAAAGGAACTGAAAAGGAGTTGCACCAAAGAAGCCAACAAAATAGGTGCTTCACCATTCTCCTTAATCACTGGTGCCTAGGCCCTGTTAATCAGATTAGCCAGACTGTGCTGTTTTAAAACCAGTCTGAGGCTGTATGAGAAAAAACACAAGCTGTTTACATCTCAAAATCTGTAGAATCAAATTATTTCTAGTAAGAGAAGGGAAAAAATATACCTCCAAAAAGAAAGAAAATTCTCAAAACATGTTATAATAAAACACTGAACTTACCTAAAGTTTGCCTTTCATTCTCCAAGTCATTGCTTAGGTTATCTTCTGAAACATTATCGCTGATATCACTTACATAGGAGTCATCATCTGATACCTAAGTGTGGAGTGGGAAAATAAGCAAGATGCATCATTAAAATAACCCCAAATGCACATGAAAAATGTAACTTTCTGCTGCAATTATTGTTTTAACAGATTCTAACTGTTTCAGCTGTGTTTCAGTGTTACAACCAAGTGCTAAGAAGTCCTAAGAAGACACAACTGAGGTTGAGACATGATCGCTGAAAATTCAACTATTTTTGTGGAAATGTGCTTTGTCTTCTTGGCCCCACAGCTAAGGCTTCCCTCATGTCAAAAGCCAAAGTTTTTATGGAGTCAGAGAGGGGACAAAATGAGCTATTACATTTCAGTATGCATGACATCAGCCCCAAGGTTCCTATAGGTACCACAAGAACAGGTATGAATATGTTTCAATGATACAATTTCTTAAGCACCTGTGTAACAACTCAAGGTAGACAGTACAATACATGCAGTATCTGCATACTAGCTACCAAGTTGCCATTTGCCTCAGTGTGGACATAGAACCGCTCCATAAAAATTATTACATTTTACTGTGAAGAGACAATGACAATAAATAAATACATGCAGTGTATTAATTTCTAAATGACTTGAAAATTTTCATTTTCTGGCAGTCATCTGATGTGCAGGGAGCACTCAGAAAGACTACACGTCAAGTAGCAGATAAACTACATCTGAATGATGTCAGTCTTCATGTTCATACCTCATTTTCTGAAGAGCTGGCAGACAGCAGGACTTCCTGTGCATCAAAAAATTCTGTGAGAGAGTCAGCTATAGACAGTCTGCTTTCATTGGAGACCTGGTGAACCAGACCTCTGCTTTCTTCTCTTGAATTTTCCTGTTTAAAAGAAATACAGAGTTCTGAGATGCAAAGTACCACAAATGGCATTCAGGCATGCAATTCCACAGTCCTATAGCTTAAAGGGCTATAAAACACTGGAGAAGATTGCACATGCTCCTCTCCAAGTTAGTGAAAGGTAGCATGTATTTCTAAGAGGGATTTAAAACCAAAGTAAATCATCAAAAGAGAAGAACAAAAAGAAAGAAAGAAAAGCAATTCATATCCAATAAAACAGTTATGGTGCTGCATGTATTTTATCCCGATAAAGAAACAACCCAAAAGCTGATATTTGTGTGATTTAGCCAGATATACACAAGTGCATCCTCAAAAAGCCCACAAAAGAACACAACTCCCATCTCCTTACATTATATCCTCGATTAACATTCCCTTCTGATCTTTGCAAATGAATAAGACTTCTCCTCCAGAGTCTTGATGCAAAATTAATGCAAAAAGTAGTAGCACGCAAAATTCAGAGGAACAAAGTTGCTTTCTATATAAAAGCAATGTGTTCCTAGCTCTCTTCCTTCACTAGATAATTTTCTACAGTGTGCTTTGGAAAGCTTTCCTTCGTATCCACACCTGAGATAGCTCTCTTGTTAACCAAACCTAACATCATATCAAAACTATCTAAGTGGCGTTGCTTTTGCGGCTGCAGGTACACTTGGCTACCATGGAGATCTCAGTAACTCCTCCCATGGAAGCTCTACAGATCGTTGGCCTAAGTGGAGTTCCAAAAGATTGCCTAGCAAAGGTGATGTAACCAGTGAGACTTGATTCATTCTGAGGATGGAGTAAAAATGTTGGGGAACTCTGTGTGCTACTGCTTTCCCTGATAAGTCCCTCAGCACTAAGTAAAAGAGCTAGCTGGCCCAAAGGAGTGTATGAGCTGCTCTCAAGCTTTTCTGCATGAGATGCTTTACTAACTTGTAGCCATGACTGCCCTATCATACTTTTGGAATTGTAGTGGTTTACTTTCAGAACAACATAATGAGCAATCTAGCAAGTTTACAGTCAAATTGACAAATCATCTTTTCAAAGCTCTTCTGCTGGTATATTTTACTGCAGCATGGAGTGTTACTCAGTACGTGCTGATCATGATGACATGGTAACAAACGAAACTGTGGTACAAAAGACTTTTTAAAAAAATATACAGTAGCAAGAAAAGAGGAAACCTCAACATTGTCTCTTCTGTGGGAAAGCTGTTACACTAGCCTACAAGTAAAAAAAAGTAACTTCTCCAGTATGAGTGATTTCATCCTTAAATTCCATCCCAAACCACACCAGAAGGAATTTTTGAATGAAACCACTAAAGGATCATTTGAAAGCTAATATTGGTGTGTGGGGGGGGTGCGTGTGTATAGTGCAAGGAAGAGTTTCAAAAATAATCCACTGTCATTGCAAGGACCTCCACTAAATAAGAAAATAAATAACTCCTGAAATTAAACCCCAGTGCATTAATGCTTGTCTGGATAGCAGTTTAAGTGCTGTTCAGATTCTCATGGGATTAAATGCAAAAAGCTTTACAATGATCAACTACCTTAAAGGAAAAAAAACCCACACAAATCAAAAACAAATGAAGAGCTAAGTATGACTAGAACACAGCTCTACTAAACCAGAAGTGAACAGACAGAATGACTAAATTGTCTTTGAAAATAAAAGGAAATAATGTTACGTAAAAAGCCCAGCATTACATCCACTGAAGTTCTAATGAAAGATTCATAACACAAGCACAGCAGAAGTTTCTGTACGAGTTAACATTTAGGAAAATCCATCAGAAATAGCACAGTTCTTGCTTCCCATTAGCCCCATTATACACTTGTATTCTGCAGCAAGTGAAAAAACTGTCTGAACACCAGTACCTCTCAAACTGGCTACCTGGGTATGTAGAAGACTCCCTGGCTTTACACAAAGAAAACTAAATGGCTGAAAGGACGCTTGTACATCTCATTTATTTGATCCTTTAATTGAAATGTCTGATAGTTGTTCTAAAATGCATATAATCCACACTGGCTTTCAGCATTCCAGGCTAACAGTATTTAGACGAGCAACAAAGAACTACAGAGCTTGAAAGTTAACAAGGAAATAAGGGAGGGAGAAACAGTAGCAGGAGGGTGATGGTAACAAGGGAGCAGGTCTGTTCATGCCAAATGGGAAGTGGCCAGGAGGCGAGGGAGAACACCAGGAACCAGTAGCAAAAAGCAATGGAAGTGTGCTCAGGAAAACTGTTCACAAGGAAAGCCTTTCAAACCAAATTCTATAGAATGCATCATCAGAAATTACTCAGAACCATGACAGCAGACTCGTTTTACCAACACAGTACACCACAGTGGAGACACGAAGACCGGGACAAGATGCAGCTATGCAGCACTGTCTAGATGTAGGGGCTTGAGGAACACACATCACTGAAAGAGGAAATCCATACCCACCTTCACCAAATCTGGACTTGATTTTGCATTAGATGCTGAATCAAGGATCATAGATTCGGTATGTATTCTGCGTAACCGGTCTTTAAGATCTGTGTTTTGTGCTATTGCCTGGAATATTTAACAAAAATATTGGGGACATAAAGTTCTCTCAACTAACGAGTATGGCTTTACAGTGTAGAGAGGGGTGAAAAGTATTTAAAGTGCAGTATAAAACACCACTAGCACATGACTTATTACCAGTTCAGCAAATCATTTATTAGAAATTCTTCAAGACTTTTCCCTTCTCTCTCAAATTAAAACTATTCTTGTTCATTGTGAGGAAAACGATAAATGGGAAAAAAAAGAGCCAAAGATAGCAAGGTTATTTCAAGCTACCAGGTTTTGCAAACTGATAATTATAAATTAATTTTCTGCATATTTTTCTTTTCAAGCTCCCTCCCTTCACCCCCATCTCCCGTCTTGCCACATCCAATAACATTTCATTTCCCATCATCCTGATACACTGACAATTCCCTTTGCCTTCCACTGACAGAGAACTAAGATTTAAATTCAGACAGATACAATTTGTGTCCTCTCAGCTTAAAATGGCAATGATCAGAATAAAAAGCTGCTACTGCAAACTCATGTTTATTACATCTTATTTACTCGTGATAGGTGTACCTGATGGACAGATGTCAGAGTAGATTTGTGGGGAGTGAATACAACCCTGGCTGCAATGAAAATATATCCAAAAAAAAAAAGGACTGGGCTACTAATTTTGGAGCAATACTGAAGATTCACAGCACATTTTAGTGATCTGAGTCAATACTAGGATGCAGACAACACTGCTCTTCACATATCTTCTTTGTGAAAATCACAAGCATTTGTGGGACAGTAAATTTTGTTAGAAATAGTCTTGAGGACAGGAAAGACAGTAAGCTCAAAGTGGCCAGGAAGGGGAGAAAGTGATTATGCCTTTACATGTGTGTGGCCTGAAATCACCATTTAGGTGAATATAACTTCTGTGTCCGGTGTTTAAGTGGACAGCAGTGTGTTACACTCACATCAAATATGTGCAAAAAACAATTTCACAACTTTCCTGTAATAACATCTTCTAATTTTCACTGTTCACTACAAAGTGGCTTCTTCCTTCTATTGTCTTCTTTGTCCCCGCAAAGTAAAAAAAAAAAAAAAAAAAAAAAAAAAAAATTTTGAAAAATATACTTTTCCCCATTCTGTATTTGCTTTTCTTACATTTTGTGTCAAAGATACTATCTTAATGCAGGAGAAGCAGAGGCAGATGCCAATTTTGTGGTGTTTTATCCACTTTAAATCTGTTCACTTTTCTTTCCCTGCCACACTGATGAGAGCAAAACAGACTCATGTTTGAAAGCTTTCAAACTGTGAGTCTGATTTTTTGTTCCTCCTGTACAGAAAGAAACTGAAATAAACAACAATAAACACTAAGTCAAAGTCATTAACACAGGACTCTCTTGCAAGGAAGTCTTACAAATATGTCAAGTTTATCATATCTGTGCTTCCATAGGTCTTCAAAGGAAGTTTATTCCTTTCTCTTAAAGGATTTCTGCTGTACAGGGTGAGAAAAATCTCTGTTGGCATTATGGCTTTACAGATCTGCAGGCTAAGAATAGCTTTCACAGGTGTTAAACCTCTGCTGAAACTGCCAAGGTTCATACGTGACTTCAGGAAGGTCTTCAAAAGGCTTATTAAGCATAAGGTAAGACCCCAAAGCATTACTTTTAAAAGACATTTAAAGGATCAAGATGGACAAAAGAATTCCAGTGCTCAGAAAAAAATTTCATGCTCAGCTGGATGTTCACTGAGTTTAAAAAAAAAAATCTTGAAATAGATTTTTTTTTTTCCCTCTAAAATGGTAGGCATGTAACACTGGAAAAACAGAACTCTCCTATTCAAAGATCAGAAGTGGAACATCTGAAAGCCAAAACCAAAGTGAAGTAAGTAAGTGAATATAGTTGTTAGGCAGCACGTGCCCGCTTTCTCTAAGCGATGAAGACATCACGGCCTTCAAAGGTCTAGGCAAAGAGGCTTCTTATATGCTTAAAACACCATAACCACAGGCAGCTCTTGTAAAGCAAAGGGAAGTTTTCATACCGAAATAATCTGAGATGATCTAGGTCACATTTTATCAATGCCAGAGTCTCCCCTGCTTCTGATTAGGAGTCTGCAAGACACACTGACATTTTAAGACCACAGTAACGATGGCCTTCATTGCTCTGAAATCAGATCACTGTCTGGTTGGCCTGTTCAAACATGACCAACCTGAAAATTCTGGTCTCAACCAATTACAAAAAGCACACCAAATAAACACACACACACACACACCCTTTCTAAAGAGCACAATCTTTGTCACTTAACAACTCTGCCCTCCCAGCTCCACTGCTGCTTTTATACGACTAACTGATAATTAAGGTTGGAAGTCAATATAAACAAGCTGTACTTGAATTTGCTTTGCAGTGTCTTGGTGCAGCAATGGTGAAGCTCTAGTGCATTAGAAGGGCCAGCGGAGTGCTTTCAGGCACTCTCACCTTTATTTTATACCAAGTCATAAAGTAAATACTTGAGTGCTGGTTAGGAAAAGAAAAGGAAGAGGAAACCCACAACCTACCAGAACTTAGTGATTAAACTGAGTAGTTTTTGAGATAAAGTAGATTCACTGCCAAAGAACGGCCCTCTGATTCTTAACATCAAATTATACAGATTATAACATATCTAAATCAATCTGTCAAACTTCAGTGATTTCACAATACCATTAACATTTACAAAAGAGCCTTTGAAATATAAAATATATATATATGTGTATATATATA